CTTACAAATATTTATATGAATATTTACATTTATATTATTTATCAAAGTTACAAAGTAGAAAAAAATACATATCCTTTATGTGATGAAAAAGGAAAATATAGTTGTTGTTGTTATGTGCTGTCGAGTCGCTTGCGACTCATAGTGACCCAATGTACAACAGCCCTAAATTCTGCTCTGTCTGTGCCAATCACAGTCTCTGACACAACCATCCTGATTATCCCAGTCACTGAATCAATCCACCTCCTAGAGGGCCTTCCCTGCCTTCACTGTCCCTCCACCCTCCCAAGCATGATGATGGCCTTCTCCAAGGACCGGTCTCTCCTCACAATATGTCCAAAGTATGTTACATGGAGCCTCAGAATCCTTGCCTCCAAGGAGCCACCCGGTTTAACCCTTTCTAGGACGAATCTGTTTGTTTTCCTAGCAGTCCATGGTATTCTCAATATTCTTCTCCAGCACGACAGCTCAAAGGCATCAATTCTCCTTCTATCCTCTGGTCACTCTCTCTGATGCATAACAAGGGATTGTGAAGACCATAGCCTGTATCAAATGCACCTTAGTCACCAGAGGGACACCACTGCTCTTCAGTACTTTGGAGAGGTCCCTAACAGCAGACTTTGCCCATAGCAATGCGCCTTTTAATTTCCTGGCTACTGGTGCCAAGAGTTGATTGTGGAACAGACCACCAACTACTCATGCAAGTTCAAGCTGAAATTGAGGAACATTAAACCAAATCCAAGGCAACCAAAATATAGTACATTCACGTAATAGAAAGTGGTCAAAAAACAATGAAGTATCAAATTATGCTACCATAAGAATGAACTTTCAAAACATGCTAAATGAAAGAAATTGTGTATTGTATAATTCCATTTATATGAAATGTCCAGCATAGGCAAATCTACAGAGACAAAAAGTAGATTAGTGGCTGTGGGAAGCTAAGAGGAAATGAGAATGGGAAATGTCTGCTAATATGCATCTACTTCTTTTTGGAATAACAAAGTTCTGAAACTAGGTAAGCCACTGAACTGCACCCATTTAAAGACTGAAGCCCGGTTGGAATCCATCAGATGCTCCGCTGGAAAAGGAGGGGCAATCTCCTTCTGTGCCAGCTGGATCTCATCTAACAGTACACAACAAAGGGGGGGAAAATTACAAAAAAATAAGACTGAAGCCTGTGCTATGAAATTATGTATCAACAAATGAGTCAAAATAGCAAATATAAAACTTTACTGAAAAAGTAAATTTTAAGAACAATTAATGTTATAAAACAAACTAGAAATTAAGTAATTATTAAAACTAATACACTTTGTAAATTTTCATCAGAATTACAGAAAAAAGTTGAACTGAGAGCTTACATAAAAAGTTCAGAGTTTATCCATAATAGTCTATGTGTTTCCTACTGCCAAGGGGGCCCTTTGGAGTAGTGAGAGAAGACATTCACCCTGAAACCCACAGCGTCCCTTTTCAGCAGGAAGTAGCTAAGAGAATACGCCATCCTCTTTTCCTTATGAATCAGGGTGAAGTCTCTCTCAGGGAGGAGTGATAGAGAATGGCAAGGGACACACTGACAAAGGAGATTAATCAGAACTGGCTTTGACAAGCACTGTGGCAATTGGACAATTAAAACAGACATGGGGGGGGGAAGAAGAACGAACTGGGGATGAGGGTGGAGAAAACAGTGCAACAATGAATGAATGAAAACCCAAACTCTCTGTAAATGTTCATTAAAACTAATAAAATTTAATAATAAAAAAAAAGCTCAGAGTTGAGCGCTTAAAAAGACAGCTGGACATTTCCCATTTTAACTGAAGAAACTAATAAAAAAATTATAATAAAATATTCTCATTTATTTAGTCAAATAGAATTCTGCAATAAAAACTAAGTTTATCATACCTGTGCTTTTTTTTCACAAAGTGTATACACCGTTTCCAAATTTGGATCATTGTGAAGTGGATGAGAATACATTCGATGCTCAAAAGCCTCTACTTTCTGGATGACTTTTTTCAGTCCTTGATCTTGAATACCCATGTCATCAATTGGGTCCAACAAAGGAACACCATCAGGAAAACGTTTCAGAACTTCCTAAAATAAAAGAGAACATTCCATTTTAACCTTATAGACAAAATGATCAAGTCTAGCTCAAATCACTATTTCCTTTTTCTCTTTACACAGCAACATCAACATTTTTCTGACTTAAAAATATAAATGCCAAGGTACTTTTCTTTTTACCACTTAAATTTCAAGGCATTTTTAGGTTGCATCTGTCTTGAAAATGCTTTTTAAATCACTCTCCATGGATAAAAAGATCCTCAATGAGATGAATTGGCACAGGCTGCCAATAATTGACTCAAGTGTAACAATGACTGATGCAAAACTGGTGGTGTTTTGGTCTGTTGAATCGAAGATCGCTGTGAGTCCGAACACATAAACAGCAGCAAACTATGATTTAATGACACAAATTATCATGATTATTCAATCTAGTAGAGTTATGCTACTAAGAGATGAGAAGTGTCAATCCACCAGCTGCTCCACAACTGTTGTTAGGTGCAATCCTCATCATCTCTGACACACTTACGTTCACTGCTGCAGTCACCATGTCAACCCATTTCATTGAGGTTTTCATCTCTTTTGCTAATCCTCCAGCTGGAAGATAAAAAATGTGGCACTCTGCCCCTGTAAACCCATGAAAACTGTATGGGGCAGTTCTAGCTTGCTTGTCCTATAGGGCTGCTGCTGAGAGCTGGAATCAACTTGATGGCAAAAGGTTTCGGTCATTATACATTTCAATTGTTGTGAGACACAACTTACTGTTAAATCCATTACTGTATATTTAGGTAACTTTTTCTCGTCATTAAAACTGTTGCAATAAGTAATTCCTGTATGTGCACTGTTTCCAATTTTCAGACTATATTCTTCGGACATATTCCTGAGGAAGGCACTAATGAGTCAAAAGATAAAACTTTTGGGGAGCTCTGGTGGCCTAGTGGTAAGAAGTTGCAACTACAATCCCAGAGGCGCACGGTTTGGATCCACCAGATGCTCTGCTGGGGAAGGAGGGACAATCTCCTCCTGTACCAATCAGATCTGATTTGACGGTACACTCACACAAAAATAATAAAATAAAAATTTTTTTTTTAAAAATAAAACTTTTTTAGGGGTCCTGTACCCTATCATTAAGAGGTTCTGGCAGCACAGTCTATCCAGTGTGTGTGCTAACCCAAAGGCTGTGTTGCTTGTCTGCTATGGTTCAAGTCTACCAGCAGTTCCTAGACAGAAAGATAAGCAATCTCCTTCTGTACCCATGTATAAGCTCAGAAACACAATGAAGGGTTATTAAGAGCTTGACTCAACAGCAGTGATAAAGGTAGCCCTTACTGCTTTTCAAAAAACATACTTAACTATTGATTATAATGAGCATGCAAGTTCAGTTCCCAACTACAGTTGGTATCCTCCTGGATGATCTTTTGGTCTTAGACTTTAGAGGTAGAAGAGACTACCGACAGTTGAGTGGGAAGAGAAGAGCAGATTAAAAGTAAAATAATGTTAAGACATTTGAACAACAGTGTTCTCAATATGCCAATAATGCAAGTTTCTGTCCTTGTTGAGGATCTACGTGATAGCTTCCAGATAAAATCTGTCCTACTCAAAGGTGGCCAGTTTCAGTACAAAAATCACAGACTTTTATAGACCAACCTGGGCAACTTTTAGTTTATACAGAAGGAATATGAGGACATAAACAAAGATTCACAAAATAAGACAACTTCTTTATGTATCAAAAAGGAAATCTTTCTAGAAGAACGTTGAAGCAGCTCCTCTTCCACTGGTCTCCCAGTATGAAGTGACTAATGTAAATAAGACACTGGGCCTGTAAAGTCCAGTGTCTCTGCTTAAATACTGTGGCAAAACTGAAATTCAATGACATTACTAAAGTTAATGTAACGTAAATATCTTGTCATCTGATATAACACAGCAGCCTTTTAAAATACTAATAAAAAAGTCCTTAAACCTGCCTGTAGATTGCAAAAGAATTTCAACTGAAATTTAAATTTAGTAAAGTAAAACAATTCTTAAAAAAAAAAAACCCACCACAAAACACTAGTGTAATTCAAAAGCACAAAAGATTAATTTTTTTCTGAGGAATGGAACTATCATGTCAATTCAGTAATAGTAATTATGTATTTCTGTTCATACTGTACCATCATTTTTTGCAATTGTTATTGTTATGTACCATCAAGTTGCCTGCGACTCATAGTGACCCTATATACAAAAGCTCTGAAGGTTGCAAGTCCTGAGCCAGTCTCATTGACTCCAACACATCTAAACCCATTTACCTAGTATTGGGAAAATAATTTTTGCGAGGCTTTCACTTTAACGAAATCATAAGATATACTTCTTATCACCAGATCAATGGTCTTTAATCTTTTTATACATTTGTTTTAAACATCCAAATACATTTGAAAGTTGTGTAAAACTTTCAAAGTAATCACTCATTTAAGAAAGCCCACTTAAGGGTCTCAGCTTAAAAATTGCTACTCTACACAAGAAAGCATCTTGTTTTAACTATCTTTTTTCCTCTACTAAGATTCTAGTATCGGCTTTTCCTGAACAGTAAATGCACAGTAAATATTTGCTAAGTAACCTTAAGTACTTTTGTTTTCAACTAGAAGAGAAAAAAATTTTTTTAAAATACTACTGAAAATTATTTATCAAATAGATTAGTAAGTAGTTACACAAGTTCTGACAAATGATTTTTATCTTCTTTTATTAAAACATATTTTCATTCACGGTGAATAAATGAAACACACTGACCATTTATAGAGAAAATAGTTCTTTATTTACATTACAGATTTAAACAGAAAACAATATGTGCTCTGCTTCTACTATTTTTACTAACAAAAGGACTGCTACTAGTTTATAAATAAATATGTTACATATTTCGGAAAGTAACCTATTTAAAAGCCTTTAAGCTAACTCTCTATAAACCCCCTTATTTAAACTTAGTTTATATAATTAGTACACTTACCTGAATTGATTTTAAAACACTCTGCCTGTTGTCAACTGGGCGAAGGTCTTTGGGAATGTAAAGCCTAACACTGCTGATAGCAGATAGAAGATGCACCAAAACCGGAACAACCTACCAACAAAAAGTTACATACTATTACAATTTAAAAAAACATACTTTCAAAGTCTATGACTTCTAAATGTAATTTTAATTCTTAAAATGAAGCTGTATTTACAGTGTGTGGCAACATGCTGTACTGAGGATGCTTGTATGCTGCCACGATGCTAGAAGCTAAGTCACCAGGATTCCAAATAAGTGGGAGACAGGTTTTAGGAGTCTCTAGCCTAAGACTCAAGAAGAGAGGCCTGATACTATTCTACCAAAAACTATCAATGGAAATCCTAATTGTCTATGAATCATAGACTACTGTGTATTATTTTAACCTGCTAACTTTGGCCATGTCATCAGGAAAGACCAATTACTGAAGGCAACGTCGTTGGTGCAGTAGCGGAGTGGAACACTGAAGGAGAGGGAAGCTCTCCAAAAAAGAGGACAGACACAATGGCCATAACTCAACATAAAAACAATCATGAAGATGGCATGGGGCTAGTGTAACACCTTAATCTATTACACAGGGGTTGTCAAAAGAGTTCCAGATAAGCTGATAGCAAATAACAAAGTGCTTTGGAAAGTTCCAACATATTCCTGGGAATCTACAGCCTGCCCATATCCAGGCCTGTATGCAAACAAAGGAAATAGGTGAGAAGGTCAAAAACTCATATTCCTGGCGCTACTTGTGGTTAAGTGCTGACAGCATGTCCCAGCATGCAAAAGAGAACTTTAAGCACTGAAAGACTTGTTGATTTCAAGGAACTATGCCAACACAGTCCGTAATATGTTGTGCTGAGAACCAAAAGGCTGAATCTCCAGCAGCTGGAATCAACCAGTTGCTCAACAGACAAAAGAGAGGTGGTGTCCTCCTATTAAGAGAAAGTGAAACCAAGTTCTCTCTTTGGAGGCTAAGATTTTGAAACTCCGTTTCACACTATTTTGGGGATGTGGCCAGGAGAGAACAATCCTTGGAGGAGGACATCATGCTCGAAGGGTGAAAGGACAGTGTAGGAGAGGAAGAGCCCAGATGAGATGGACTGATACAGTGACTGGAGCAATGAGGGTTGGTGTGTAGGAATTAGTGAGACTGGCTAAGGACAGGGTTCAGAGCTGCTGTACATAAGGTCACTATGAGTTGCAGGTGATTCAACAGCACTTAACAACTGAAATCTGATGGATCATTATTAGCTGGAACCAACTCTATGGCACTGAATTTGCTTTTGGGAGTTTATACTCTATTATCGTAGTCCCTTGTTGGTACAATGAGTTAAAGTGCTCTTAGCAGCCAATCAATAGGTTGGAGTTCATCATCTACTCAAAAGCACCTCTTGAGAAAGAACTGGCAAGCTTTTTATCTGTCAAATCTCACTCTGCCAAAATTACTAGAGTGTATATTCCTATTTTCAAGCAGTTGATAAATATCCTAAGTGTATATAGTTATATTCTATAATGTTTGATTCCATATCTTTCCATAGCTAGCTTTAAATTTCATAAATATCTAGGTAAACAACAACACTTAACAACAATATCTGACTCTAGATATATGTAATTACACGTTAGAGTGTAATTATAGTCTTCAATTCCTGACAACATTTGAGTCTCTTTTAATGGTTATAAACTAGCTGTAAAAAGGGGTCAAATAAGACACATAAGCAAAAAGGTCAATTTAAGAGTCGCACATACACAAAAATTGGGTCAATTTAAGAATCACTAGGCAGATAAAGTGGCTATGGAAACCTCAAGTTTACTCAACAGATCATGTAAAGGATATCTGCCTAAATCCACACAAGAAACAAAAATATAGCGAAGAACTGAAACTTTATTCTAAAATGTCCATAAAAGTGATCTGTGTCTAGGACATGCATACTCTTTTTCTTAGGGAAGTCTTCCTGTTTATGTATATGCATACAGAACACAACTTGGGAGTTCTTTTTAAACAGGGTTTTTTCATGCTCTTTCTTTGCACTATGTCCTCCAATAGAAATGAAGTGTTACTGGAAAACTACTTTAATATTCCTGTAAATGTGCTCAAATGTCAGTCTTTCTTTTGCAGAGCCTTCTCATTTTCATTTACTCTCAACTAGCACAGATCTAGGTCTTGGGTATGCAAGCACACAAATAAATACATACATACACACACACATACATATCTAAATATAGATTTCATTTCCTTAGCAGTATTGGCTAAAAGAAAACAGTATTTCAAAAAAGGTTATAGGAATAGAACTAGTTTGCTCACATTTAATGAAGACTTCCCTAGATGTCTGATGACATGAACCAAATCAAGATTAGTAACCACTGTAAAGCTGCTCAGCATGAAGGTGTGCAGGAGCAACTACCATGTTTCCTAATACTCAACTTCAGAACTGGGACATGTGTTCAGATGTCATCTAAAATGTTCACTGAAGTATTTCATCACTATAGTCATATAATATATTCATAGCTACTCAAAGCACTTTCCTAGAAAAGGATTTTTTTATATACTTCCATATGAAAGAATGCTATAATTTATTATCATATCCACTAAAGAGTGTGGGAGAATGCTTGAGAAGTTGTGGTAAGTTGTAAGGTTCATTTGGGAACAAGAATTTTACGCCAAATTGTAGACACTTCAACCTCATTACATAAAAATAACAAAACATCTTTATTGAATTTCTTTCACTAATTATTTTTACCATTTTGTAATTAGATAAGGGTAAATGAAAACATTGTTCAACGTAATGATATTGTGTCAATCTAGTTTCATTTTATATGACTTTTATCCCAGTTACAACCAAGGGGCTTCAAAGAACAGAAGTTCAGAGGTTTTTTATTCTTTCCACAGCTCAGGAGACTAGAAGTTCACATCCAGGGCATGGTACTTAGGGTAGGAACATCCTTTTCAGTAGTTTTGTGGCTTCATTGGCACCTGTTTTCTCCTTATATACATTCTGGGTTTTTTTTCTTACTCAGAAATGTTTAGGTTTAGGGTCTACATTACACTGTTCTGACCTCAAAAAACGTAGCCAAAGAACTAACTCTTTATAGTCACATTTTCATCTCAAGAGGTGAATGTATTTCTGAAGGTTACAACGCAACAACTGTTCTTAGTATACAACAAAATACCTTGAAAACTTCCAATTTATATATAATACAAGTATTCTTTTTTTGACAAAACCGTGACTGTAAATAGGTTTTTTTAAATGTATGAAATAGAAAAGTAAAATTTAAAATTCAAACCTGCATCTCCCCCTTTTCATCAGGCTTAGCTGGCTTTGCAGCCTCGGTAGCCGAGTTCTTCAAGCTCTCTTTGCTGCAGCGTAGAAGTACCTCCACAACATACAAAGGATCAAGTTCCCCAGAATTAGGCTAGGCGTAACACAAAATAAAGTTAATTAATTTTTAAAAACTAACCCAACATTTTCAATGTCTTATGTACCATATTAAAAATTTTTATATTCTCTAGAATGTAAAGGAACTCCCAATACAAAATGACTCCAAGAGAGCTCTGGTAAACTAGTAGCAAGAAGCTGCACTGCAATCCAGAGATGTGTGGTTTGAATCCACCAGATGCTCTTATTGAGAAGGATGGGCAATCTCCAACTGTGCCAGACAGATCTGACTCGATAGCACACAAGAAAGAAGGAAAAAAAGCCTTAAAAAAAGAATTCATAAAAATTAGAAAACCAAAACACCAAACCAAAATGGTTCCAACTGAACTTTATTAAAATGCCTCAAAATAATCTCTATTCTCCCTCTGCCTTTGACAATCTTTACTGGTCACACAAAAGAAAAATCTTTGGGTTGGTATTCCGAAAATACATCCCAAAATCATAAAAGTATACTTCCTTTTTTCAAAGAAAATGGCCTATGAAAAGCAGCTTGTTAGAAAAAATTACACCATTAGAAATAAAGAACTCTCATCAATTAGCACTGATATACAGACTATGGATTAAAGTAGAAAAAGAACTTTAAACATTATTCAAAGACATGTGTTTCTCCTATTTATCTACAAAATTATATTACAGTAAGATTTCTATAAACATTTAAACTACATTGTTTTCTCTCGTATCAGTATGCATTGTTATGAGGACCAGTGACTATGGAGAAAATTCTACACAAACTTAATTCTCTGGAACTATAAAAGTATAAAACAAGTAAAGGAGGGTCTACTGAAGAAAATCTATTAAGATTTGGTAAGAATAGAACAGTTTATGGTGTCTGAAACAAAGACCTCTTCCTCTCTCTCCTTTAACCTCACCAATACATAACTCTTTTAATTTGGAACAGCCAAAACCTCCCTCTCCCACAGCTCCCAGGTGAAGGGCTATGTTGCCTGGAGTAGTAACACCACATTATTATACATCTCTGAACTTCCTGTTGCTTTGCTAAGTTTCTGGATAAGTAAAATTTTTTTTTTTTTACTTAGTATTCTTGAGCTCCGGCAATGCTTCAGGGTGTTGCCGGAAAAAGAGTTGTGCCAAGAAATCTGGAGAAGAGCCAGGTGGCCCACTGACTGGAAAAGATCGATATTTGTTCCCATTCTAAGAAAGGTGATCCAACAGAGTGCAGAAATTATCAAATAATATCATTAATATCACATGCAAGCAAGATTCTGGTGAAAATTATCCAAAAACGTTTGGAACAATATGTCAACAGAGAACTGCCAGATGTACAGGCTGGATTTAGAAGAGATCGTGGTTGTTGTGTTTTTGTTATGTGCCGCCGAGTCGCTTGCGATGGTACTAGGGATATTATAGCTAATGTTAGATGGATCTTGGCAGAAAGCAAAGAAGACCAGAAGAATGTCTATCTGTGCCTCACTAACTATGCAAAGGCTTTTGACTGTGTGGATCACAACAAGCTGTGGCTGACTCTGAGAAGAATGGGAATCCCAGAACATTTGACTGTGCTAATGCGAAACCTATACTTGGAGCAAGAGGCACTCGTCAGAACAGAGCAAGGAGACACTACATGGTTCAAAACCAAAAAGGGGGTCTGTCAGGGATGTATTCTGTCTCCATACCTTTTCAATCTGTATGCAGAACAGATCATCCGAGACGCTGGGCTATACGAGGAGGAATGTGGCATCAGGATTGGTGGAAGAGTCATCAATAGCCTGCATTATGCAGATGACACAACCCTGCTTGCTGAAACTGAGGAGGACCTGAAATGCTTGCTGCAGAAGGCCAAGGACTTTAGCCTCCTATATGGACTGAAGCTCAACAAAAAGAAAACAAAGAATCTCACCACTGAGCCAATTGGCAGCATCAGTATGGATGGGGAAGAGATTGAGATAGTTAACAGTTTTAGTTTGCTTGGCTCCACAGTCAACACTCTTGGTAACAGCAGCCAGGAAATCAAGAGACGAATTTCACTGGGAAAGTCAGCTGTGAGGGACCTCTCAAGAATACTGAAGAGCAATGGCATCAGGCTGGAGACTAAGGTGCACCTGATCTGGGCTACAGTCTTCGCAATTACGTGCTATGCATCAGAGAGTTGGACAGTGAATAGGGATGATAGAAAGAGAATTGATGCCTTTGAGCTGTGGTGCTGGATAAGAGTGTTGAATATACCATGGTCTGCTAGGAGAACAAAAAGGTTTGTCCTGGAGAAGGTGAAGCCGGAATGCTCCTTGGAGTCAAGGATTCTGAAACTTTGTCTGACATACTCTGGGCATGTTGCAAGGACGGACTGGTCCTTGGAGAGGGTCATCATGTTTGGCAGAATGGATGGGCGGCGAAGGATAGGAAGACCTTTGATGAGATGGATTGATTCTGTGACTGGAGTGGTGGGAATAAGCGCGTTTGAGATGGCTAGTTTGGCACAGGATAGAACAGCATTTAGAGCTCTTGTACATAGGGTTGCTATGAGTCACAAAAGACTTGATGGCACATAACAACAACATTCTTGAGCTCAGTGCTGCTGACAATATTGGGGCCCATATTCAACTCTGTCCTTCTCATAAGGCTATGGTTTTAAGCTGGAAGAAGCAACGTGAGGAGACCTGCGGCTCCTGCTTCTCATTCTACTTAACAATTTCAAAAGTCAGTCCCTTCTTTCTAATCTTAGCATGAAAGAAACACTGAAACCTGAGCAAGACAGAAATTCCCACTACTGACAGCTGGTGGCTGTGCACGTTTTAGTTAAGTCAAAACCTGAGCTTTTGTACCCCACAGAGAACACAAGACATTTTACCACTGAAAAACTCAGTGCAGAAGATTCAAAGACTACCACCTTCAATTTGGATTACATCTCAACATCAAGACGACAAAAAAGTCTCACCACCAGGAAAGCAGGCAATATCATGAAAGATGAAAAAGAGAGAAACAGTCAATGACTACATCTTAGTTGGATCCATAATCAACACCCTTCGCACCAGCAGTCAGGAAATCAAAAGACATATTGCAAAGGAAAAGTCTGCTGCTGTCAGGGACCTCTCAAGAGTACGAAGGAGCAATTTCATTAGGTTAGTAAGGTGTGCCCAATTCGGGTCATGGTCTTTTCAGTAATATGCTATGCAACTGAGAGCTACACAATGAATAAAGATGACAGAAGAACTGGTGTCTTTTAGCTGGGGTGTTGGAGAAAAGTACCAAGTACCTTGTGGCCTGCCAAGAGAAGAAACATCTATCTTGGAAAAGGGGGAACCAGAGTGCTTATTGGAGGCAAAGATGATAAAATTTCTTCTCATATACTTTGGGCATGTTACTAAGAGAGGCTATTCCTTGTAAAGGGACATTACATTTGGAAAGTTGGAGGGTGAGCAAAAAAGGAGGAAGACTTGCAACAAGATGGACTGACACACGGAAGAAAAAGGCTTGGGTATGCCAGAGATAATGAGAATGGCACAGGATAGGAGAGGGTTCAGATCTGTTGTTCAGTGGGACACTACGAGTTATACTTGACAACACATAATAACCACTACACAACATGCATGTTTTATGTCTAAAACTCTTTGAGATATTCTAAACAACTGCTAAATTTTTTCTTCAGGCAGATACATTGCTAGAAAGCACACTTCCTGTGTGGAAGGTGTAATAATTTAAGATGTGAAACACTGCATTCACATTTAGTGGCAAATCCAAATGGTTAGAAACAAAAGCAATGTCTTCTGTTCCAGAGTTCAGTTACCCAGTTATATATTCATTTAACACACAGAAAACACTACGGCAGTAGCAAATAAGCAAAAGCAATTGCAAAGAACATCATGAATTGTGTAATTTGGATGAAACAATAATATTTAGCACTGACAGCCTTAGTTTTTATTACATAGAGAGTAGACTTTAACAGCTGTGAGAGAAGCCTTTAAAAAAAATGTTACCCTTTCAAGTTAACTTTACCTTCTACAGGATTAAAGAAAATTCATGTAGGAGAGAGAGTGGA